GTAACATAATTATATATGTAATTATATGTAATTATATTTATATAACATAATTATATATGTATATATGTAATTATATTATGTATATTATGTAATTATATATATTATGTTATGTAATGTAATATAACTTATATATGTGTATATATGTACGTATATATTATATATAATATAATTTATAAAATTATATTATATTATATACATTATAATGTAATTATATATGTGTGTATATATTATGTGTATATATGTGTATATATTATATATAATATTATATAATTATATATGTATATACATATACATACAATATATAAATATACAATATATAAATATAATATAATATATATTTGTATATAATAAAATATATTATTTTTAATATATTACATATAATATATATATTATAATAGTAAGACACTGCATATTTTTCCAACCATATACTTTGTTTTTAATTTAGAAAGCATGGTAGTTAAACAAGATTAATTTTTCCATTTTATGTTATTTACATAGTTTTAGTCTCTGGTCAATATATTAAGGAATCCTATTTACATCTTAGAAACTTTGTATTTTTTATAGGAACACTTCTGATTCATTATAGTCAAGAAATTGAAAATCAAATGATGAATGAAAACTTTCTAGAAAGTAACACACTGTTTTGCCTCCTGTCCTTTCCCTTTGTTAGATTCTTATTTTATTCTTTCCAGGACAAAATGAATCTTTTTTTTTTTTTTTAAGATTTTATTTATTTATTTGAGAGAGATAGTGAGAGAGGGAGAGATAGAGCGCATAAGAGGGGGAAGGGTAAGGGGGAGAAGCAGACTCCTCCCTGAACAGGAAGCCCAGTGAGGGAGTTTATAATGGGACTCCAGGATCATGACCTGAGCTGAAAGCAGTCACTCAACAATTGAGCCACCCAGGCACCCCAGGATAAAATGAATCTTGAACTTCCACAATTTTCTCAATGGAATATTAACTGAACATTAAAATAGTGACGTTGATTACGCATGGTTATTGCCTTTAGGTAATTAGATTACATGGTTTTTCCTTCAACATTCTTTTTTAAACATTATTATATTATGGCCCAAATCATTTTTATGATTCATGAAGTAGAAAGCATATTCCAAAGTACATAAACCTCTTCAACACATTTATATACATTAATTGGAATAATCACAAAATACATTGGAGTTAAATAGTCTGAGTTATTTATATTTTATTAAGATGCAGCAGTATGAATTCTATATAAATTTACTAAATGTCAGCTACATTTTCAAGTGCAAGTGTGATATTTCAAACCTACATATTGGTGTTGATTTAATTGTTCTCTATTTTTTTGTTATTTTTCTTTTATGCAATAAATAAAGCTAATTCATACTTGAATATGAATTTCAAATTTATGACATTTCTAACTTTATTTAAAATTCTAACTGTATTTAAAATGTTTAAACTTTTTTCTAATAAATATGAGCATGAAGGTCAAATTTGTTGGTGTCTGACTAGGTCTGCTGAAGGTCACCATCTGTGAATGACATTAAATATTGTGGTGCCCAAAGTAATGACATAGTGGGAGCATAGAATGTGCTTTTCTTAAGACCATTTCTTCCATTTTATAAAGTGGATGTGGAAGGCAATGTCCACTCTTTCACTTCACATTCCTCCTAAGGGACTTGTACTTTAAAGTCCTTTCTCATTTTATGGTGGGAAAAACATAACAAATGTGAAAAGTCAGTGTGCTTCATTTTCACAGGTGATATAAAGTATGTACTTCATCACAGTTTTCCCTACCTTTGAACCTAAAATTTGACTCTGTGTTTCCTGATAGATAACTACAGGCCTTTTTTCTTTTTCTTCTGCTTTCCTCAGTGCTTAGGATCTTCTATTTTTAGTTCATGACAGAACTCTACTTGTGTATTTTATTTTAAGTCTTCTCAAATAGGTTTGGGAAATAGGTAGTATAAATAAATGATAAATAGTTTGTGCGCCAGAGCTTGTTTCTTTTTCTGCCCCAGAGCTTGACTGTTTGGCAAGGTCTACCTCAAAGATGACATGAAAACCAGGAGATGTTTACAAATCCTGCTGAGATACAGACACAAAGCATGTGGAATCAAACACATTGAAATGCCAGAACATAAGGTGAAGCTTTCATTCCCAATATTATCCCTCACAACATGGGAGTTGCCTTTTGTTTCAGCCTCTCATATTAAAAGAGACTCTTCTAATGCTCTTCTTTGATCAAACAATACTGAAATATTCAATCCTCTAAATTCTCAATTCAATTCAATACTCAATTCAATATTCAATATTCAAATACTCAAAACAACCTGAAATAAACTCAATGTTGACATAAGAGGTAGAGCTGGTAAAGACAGTAAAGAAGTTTAATATGGATTTGGTAAATATTACCTGGAACAAAAATCTCTACATGTTATACTTACATTGAAAAATATGGAATACCAGAGGGAATAAAAATGCATTTTAAAAAATTTTATAAGTGGGTAGTTTTCTATTCAAATAAACTATCCAGTGACATCATTATAAGGGGATCTCAAAACAGACACTTAGACCCTGAGACGATCCAGAAATTTGCTCCAAATTGGATGTTTTAGATGGATATGAAGTGTTGAACAAAACTCTTTTTAATGAAATTAGGGTTAAAAAAGGCAGTATTTCTCAACTGGTATTTGTATTGACATAGTTTTTAACTGTGTAGGTATAATTTAATTAAGATATTAAATTAACAAGTGATTATTTGACTTTTATCCATATTAATATAAATTTATATATTCAAGTTGCAAAACAGCCTTTCTTTTTCCTTTATGTCTGGATATTTTCACGAAAGCATGAGAGAGCATCTTATATTCAGGCTAACAATATTTGAGACAATGCTTTTTACATTCTCAACATTTTTAGAAGCAAGTGACAGTGAGTCTTAGAAATTGAAGTATTCCACAAATTAGACCATTGGTTCTGAACTGATCTGTAGACTAAATGGGAATAATTAACATATTTTTCTGTACTCCTGATTTTACAAAGATATCCAGGGGGTGGTCATTTGAATTCTGAAAAATTGATATTCTTTATCACTGACCATGTCCCAATTTTTATGATAGCTGTTTTTGCATTTAATTGCATATACTCAGCACCATTCACTTGAGATTGTTATTACATTGATAATATGAACAGATGGGAATCCAAAATGTTAACAGTAACAACTGTCACTATAAAATTTTAATTTTTTCTTTTCTAATTTTTTCCATAATGAACATATATAATTTTTATAATTTTAAGAAAGCAATAACAAGTGAATCAAAATTTATTTGCTAACAGATGATTATACACAGTCCATAATTTTTTTCTACACCAAACTCTCCTAAAACCATGAAGACTCTTTTTATGAGTTCTGGAGCTGAATCGGTTTAATTAGCTCACAAATTCATTAAACTAGACCATCTCTAGGCAATATTATAAGACTAACAATAGCAAAAATTTTGACTAGTGCCAGCCTCCCCACTAAGATGCTACAGTAATAAGAATAAGTGGGATTATTGATGTTCTATAGTCATTTACTCTAAGATTTTTTTTTGCACTGGTCTAAAAGATGACACAAAAGCAATCATATAAATTTCAAGTTATTTGAGAAAGAATCACTATTCATTAAGAAAGGAGCCCTATTAATATTAGAGGTACTTACAAGTATTTCTTCCATAAGTGACTACAAGAAAAGTGTGTTGAACCATGAACTCACACCAATGCTTTATAAACACAGTTCTCAAAATAATTTTAATTTCAAACCTGAATATATTTTAGTGTGTGCGTATTTGTGTGTGTGTGTGTGTGTGTGTGTGTGTGTATTTTCTAAAAGTAGAATTAAAATCTGCTTGTCCCCTGGGACTAATAATACATTATATGTTTATAAAAAATAAAAAAATAAAAATAATAAATCTGCTTTCAAGAAGGGAAGTAAATAAATAATTTGCAAAGAGTTTTCCTTCCATATATCCCTATATATGGACAGCAAAATTGCTGTCCCTATGCTGAGGTGATCCTACATTGTTTTTTCTAAAAATCATCTATCAGTTTTTCATTCACAAGCTTTAAACAAAAGAAAGTTACTTACCTGGGGGTGTTACTATGAGCTTAGTTCCTTTTGCAAATCTTTTGACCCAGACTGTTACCACATTGGTTAGAGGTTCTACAAAAACATCAGCCTTCTCCTGAGCTTCATGGCAGGACCAGCAGGAAGAAAGCTTGTACTGGCAATTTGATCTTTAGAGTTTCCTGGGGAATCCTTGAATATAGGCTTCATAGCATCTGATATTTTATAAGTTTACCTGAGCTTAGTTGACCCAAGTGTCTGTTTTCCAAGAAGCCAAGAGTTACTGAAAAGGGCTGATAGAAAACAAAAACACTAAGAACAAAAGAAAAAAAAGAGAGAGAGAGAGAGAGAGAGATTGGGATTAACTGGTCAACCCACTACATATCTACATTATCAGGAAAGTGTTCAGTGAATTAAGAGGTTGATATCCAGGTGTTCAATTATGTGAAATTGCTCAGTGTGCATCAAAGGAAAAGCCTTTGTGTTCTCACAAACACCAGACCTCCTCTGTTAGTAATTTGGGATTGTATTTCTAAAGAGGGAAATTCTTCAGTAACTTACACTGCAAATATACCAATAGAAATATATTTGAAAAATGTGAACAATGTTCTCCATTCTGTAATCAGCTACTTTAATGACAGCAAAATGATTTTTTCCTGCACAAATGAGAAAATAATTTGTGTAATGACATATTATCCCTGGAATGAAAGAATCAATTTATAGAAATCTATCTTCTATGAAAAAATAGATACCATTTTAACCCCAAATTTGAAAACACAATCCATTTCTCTGAAATGTTGAAAGAAGCAGCCTCTTGAGAGCTATTCTGTGATCTTAAGAAATGCATGCGTAGCCCTACTTCTGTGGTTAACTAGCTTTGGACAAGACATTTGCCACCCCTGCTTTCCCACATCCCATTTGCTGTGTGGGCATTGGGCTATGAATATTCAAAGGGTGCTTCCTGTTCCCACAGCTTATGAACCTGTGATTAAGAGCAGGAAAGTGTCTGCTGTGGTTGCTCAAGTGAGAAGGTGTTGAGGGTTAGTAATAGAGAAGGTTTACTTACAGGTCCTTCTCACTCTCTGATATTGTGAGATTCCAGTAGGCACAATATCAGGGGGCTTCATGGGACATGAGGACCTTATTGACTATCAGGTAGAAGACTGTTTTTCTTATCTGTGATTAGCCAGAATTTGGCTAGTCTTACAGGCAATGTTGGTTGAGCTTAGAGGATTCATTTCAGGGGCTCTTCTTTAATTGGTACCAGGGGACAATGACCTTCTCAAGGGAAACCCTAGACTGCTTGCAATGTATATGAAAAGTTCTGACTGGTGTTCAGGTAAAAGAGAGTTGATTCTGAGAGATTCTCATTTTGGTGTCTCCATTTGAAATGCAAGGGAATACGTTCAGAGGTACTGCACAAGTTGATAGTGGACATAAAAAACAGTGAAAAGACAAGAAGGTGTATAGTCACCTACAAACCCAAGCCAAAGATATACATACATCCATAGGTTTGGCGTTGCCAGTGACTAATTAGAATGGGCTCCAAGAGGGAGCATGAATCAGGACTGGGGAGGTAGTAGTGGAGGCAGCCCTTTTTCCTCAGAGGCAAGAATGGGGAAGGAAGGTTTGCTTTAGAACCAATGAAAGACCCTCTCAGTAAGATCTGTCTCAGTGTTATTTTATTATGTTCTTGGTATAAAGAACTATCAGATCCTGGAAGACCTCACCAAAACACCCGTGTTATAATAATTCAATGTATATTCCCCTTGGGAACAACAACCTTGCATTTTTCCTTTAGCTTTTACTTCAGACACACCTATCCTTGAGCTCTTTTTCACTCAGATTCAAAGTGTGGAGAGCTCTAACTTAGTGTGCAAATTGGAAGAAAAGTCTTATTATATAATAACAAATGAGATACTAATCTCACAACCTTATGCAGAAGTAAGTATATTTTATAGATCAATAGTTTATAGAAAGTTCACAAAGTTTGATGAATATTTAAAGTTACTATAGTTATTGCTTTAGATGCTATGACATTTCTATACTCTACTGTGAATAAAGAAAAATATTGGAGGAAAAATATCTTTCATTTATTACCCTTGACTCTTTCCCTCTTCACAATTCTTAGCTTTTTAGAATTAAAGCAACACTTTACTGTTGTTTAGAGGGCAAAGTGAGATGTGATTTTTAAAGACTCCCTGAGATCCTGTGTTCGCTGAGATGGCTCATGAAGTAGCTCAGTTATGGGAAAGGACGCTGTGATGTGTTGATCCCATACTAGAACTGTCTGTATGCAACCTTCTTTAGTTCCCAGCAATCCAGCAGGTTAATACCTAAAACTGGGAACACAGTATAACAACGATTTAGTACCTTTCCTCAATCAATGCTGCTGGTTAAGTGGCTGAGCAGGAATTTGAAATCCAGATCTGTAACACTCAAAAGTCTTGTATCTTCCACCTTTCATTCCTTTGTTCATTTGTTCGTTCATTCAAACTCAGCACACCATTTTGCACATTGATTTGTCTTCCTTCCCCAGAAACTTCTCATAGATGCAGAAGTATAAAAATCAAAACACTTGCAGAAGTTAGTGTAGGTCCCACAAAGGTAAGGATAGTTAATAAAGTGACCTGACTGAAAGAAACATCACAGGTTTTGTCCCTGGGCTCCTAGCTCAGACCTTGCTGAGGACACAGATTCAGGAGAAAATTCCTGTATAGACATTAGTCAGGTCCCTCTGGGAGGTAGAAAGGAGCATGTATATGATGGCAGGGGTGTGGAGTTGTGGGAGGGCTTTTGTCCAGTGGCAGCGGAGCATTTCCACACTTCACTGGAGTGTATTTGAGCAGGTGTAGTATTCCAGCCCAGCGTCTTCCTCACTAACTTGGTATATCCTGAGGCTTGCTGGTAAGACCCATAGACAGCAGAGAAAGGGAGCCACAGTATTTACACCAAATCATCCTGCAAAATAGGTCTACTAACTCTTTATCAGCAGATGTCTCTCATCACTGTGTGACTGTTACCATCCAATGATATTAATGTAAAGAAGCCATTTTCTTGTTAATGGACTGTAGTCCCTAATTGGTTGAAATCAATGGGAGAGGGAGAGAGAGAGATGGAGGAAGTTCTTACAGTTCTTTGCTTTTATGAGTTATGCTTATCCACTCCCTCCTTTCCTTTTTTCTCTCTCTCTAGTCCTTCCAATGCAGTTGGGATAATTTCTAGTGGTCTGTACTCATGTAGACTAATTCTTTCCTTGTATCTCTTAAATCCACTGGTGAGCCTTTTTGGCATTCTTCATTTCCTTTATTGTGTTTTTATTTCTTGCCTTTAATTTGGTTCTTTCCATCTCTCTACTGAAATTATCTGTCTGATCTTGAGTATTGTTTACCTTTTCCATTAGATTAGAGCCTTTAATATATTAATCATAGTTATTTTGAATTCCCTGATAGTTCAACATCTGTGTCATGTCTCAATCTGATTGTGGTAATGGCTTTGAGTCCTCAGAGTGTATTTTTCCTGACCTACTGTACGTCTATGAAATTTTTGTTTGGAAGCTGGACATGTTGTGTGGTATAGTAGATACTGAAGTAAATATGTTTTGTGTTTGAAAGTGAACACACCTTTCCTGTTAGGCCTTTACTTTGGGGGTTTATGTTAATGGATCAGGAGTTAGACTGGAGTTGAAGTTTGTTGTTGTTAAGTTATCAGGGTTGAAATTTGTTTTGTTAGTGTTCAGACACTTAAAAATTCCGTAGTTCTACTTTGTCTTTTCTCCTCACTTGTCTTTGAGTCTAATGTTTGTTTTGCTCACCAGAGAGAGTCCATCTTTTGAAGGTCTCTGAGCTCTATTCCACTGTGACTTTTACTAAAGGTTTGCTGGCCTTTGGGTGAAAAGTCAGGGAGGGAGACATTCCTGATATTTTCATTAAGTCTCAATTTTAAGCAGATGCAGTGAAAATGGGTTTTAAGGATGTGGTCTTCACAACTATTCCTTCCAGTTTTCCAGAAGTAGGAAATTTTAAATCTCTATTTCACTCCCTCAGCCACAATAAGTACCCACCTACTTCAGGTTGTACTTTGATGCCCATCCTTCTGTAAATGAAAAGGTGGTACTTTTGGACATAGAGGAGATGTTTCTGGTGAACATTTTTGTGATCTCCTCCTTTGCCTTCCCTCAACAGCAGGGGGATTCCACCAGCACCTTCCACTGCAGATGAAGTCACTTGTTTCTTACAGTGGTGATGGCATAGATTAGGTCTGGGTGGATTTAGCTCTAGCTGTTGTTCCCCTCCTGCAGAATCAAGGGAGAAGCATTTTTCTGGAATGTCCTTGATCTTCCCTCCAAGAATTTTATGGAGTTCCTGGAGAAGACACTTAAAAGGTGATGGGAAATACTTTATACATGGTCCCTCAGGGTTCACACTCTTCCACTAGTCTATACTCAGCTCTTTATATTTCTTTAGAAATTTCCACTTTAATCTTGTGACCAGGTGAATGTGTTTGACAACATCTATCCAAGATGAACAAATGCTCGCTTCCTGTTTCTCCCTGCAAGAGCCTGTCTCCAATTTTTATTTAAGTACAATCTCAGTTCTCCAATGGATATACAGAATGACATTTCAGCTCCTCCTTTTTTGGATGTTATTTTAAGATGAGACCTGAGCTATTTCCAGCTCTCAACACCTTGGAACACATGTGGGTCCTTTTTCCTAAATTTTGTTTGTTTGTTTTCCTTTATTTTTTAAAAGATATTACTGATTTATTTGAGAGGAAGAGTGAGGGAATGAGAGAGAGGGAGAGAGAGCACAAGTGGTGGTGGTGTTGGGGTAGTGCTGGAAGGGAGAGGCAGAGAGACAAGGAGACTCCCCACAGAGCAGGGAGCTCAAGCCTGGGACTTGAGAGTCAGGGACTCAAGCCTGACTCAATCCCAGGCCCTGAGATCATGACCTGAGCTAAAAGCAGACACCTAACCAAGTGAGCCACCCAGGTGCCCCTGTTTGTTTTTCTTTAGTGTAAATTGTTGTTAAATTTCAGTTGAGTTCTGCCCAAATTCCCATTATATCTCTTTATA